ATTTTTGTTGAATGAATGCTTTAATGATTACACTGAGAACATGAAACCTGAAAAGACTGATAACCTATAAAGACTTTAATAAAACAATACTAATAAAATAAAAAGGAGAGATATTGCTAAAAGAGGAAAACAGAAAAAGAGAACACAAGATGAAACAAGCTCCACAAAGTGGCTTGTTGAAAGTACATCTTGCTTAGATCAAAGGCATTTGGGAAATTTAAGAGCCAAAAGCCCATTTGTCAGACCTGCACAGGTTCATAAAATTGTATCGCATTCTGAATGTAGTCTGTGAAGGAGGGAGAACATGAGAGTGACCCCTGCAATGAAGAGCAGAAGTGTGAAGTCTCTTCCAGTTCCAAGGGTTATCATGTATTACAATCGGCATCTACCCAGCGGTGCATTTCCATTTGACTTCTGTTCTCACTCTCCCTCTCTCCTGAAGGAAACTCTCAAAGGCCCAGGGAAAGTACAACAATCTCCCAACTCCCTTTTATCTGGTCAGACTCTCTAATTATGCCTACTTGGCTTCACTCACTTCATTTGGCCAAATAGCCTAAGGCTTTCTCCCTGAACAAAGGTCCTTACAACCTGATATTCTAACTTAAAAGAGAGAATATCTCACTCTCTTTTTCCCCTTTTTCTCATTCTACATCTTAACGATGGGTAAAAGCTTCTCTAAGTCCTGATGCACTTGGGTTCAAAGCTAAAAATTCACACTTAAATATAAACCACTTAAACTCTTTTTTTTGGTTTCACATTAAAGGTTATCTCTCCGATCAAAAGGTATCCTATTTGAGGGAATAGTGACGGACAATGTGTGTCCCCAGTAGTACATAATACAGCATATCCTTAGCTCTGAACCCTCTTAAGAAAAGGAACGGAACAGGGGAAAGTAGGAATGGTGCTTGCATCTACCCGCTCCTGCTCTCCACCATTTTCCATATACTGCATTCAGTATGACACCTGAGTGTACTCTCACAGTTCATCCAATCCAATTCATGTGCAGTTGGCCATATTTACAATTTGATAAAATAAACACCAAGTGGTCATTAATTTTCATGTAATTAGATGAAAGGACTGAAGGAAATGGATCTTTCTGCATATTATGTTAGAATAACAGGAATATCCTCATGCTTGGGAAATGCTCTGTGTGCGTTATAATTTCATTCTATCTTTACAAATAACAGAGTATGGATTTGAACAGACTAATGATTATCATTTTAAACAAGGAAAATACAGTAAATGCTGCTTGGAGCCAGTTTCTCCTAATTTGATCATAAAAATAAAGGGCATCTGCTTTTTTTTATTTTTTTCTTCTTAATATGGCATCTGCTTTTAAAGTTAATGAAACTGTAGGTTTTAGATATCAGAAAGCCTACAACAAAATAGACCATTATACTACAAAATTTGTAGTCTACAAGACTGTTTTTGAGGCATGACATACCTATTTGCATAGTTTCAATTTTCAAAGCAAAAGAAAAAAAAATGAATATTTTGGATTTAAGAGTCAAGCATTCTTTAATACTAATTTATTTGCTATTTTAAAGTTTAAAAGTATTTAGGAGTCACTCTCACTTGAAACCTTTTCTCAGTGTATAACACTAACACATAATCAAATCCCAACATATCATAAAACAGTCTGAACTTGACAATTCTTACTATGATAGATTTACATATCAGTTTTTATGCAATGTCCTTGACAACTAATATTTTATTCAAAATAAGTTATTCTCTCCTTTGAGGATGAAGACCCCAGGTAAAATTAAAATACTGCCAAAGTCCACGATAGTATTGTACTTTTTAGATCATTGATTGAGAAAATATAATATGAAAAAAGTTCCTATGAATATAGGAGCACTTTATATTAGTATGACTCTGCTGCCAATGATGGACAACCAAAACAACACTATTTTAAAAGAAGTTTATTTCTTTCATGTATTCATAAGCAGTTCAGGATTGGCATTGTACCTTCCTAAATATCAGCAGCCCAGACTGTTTTGATCTTGTGACTCTGCTATCCTTAAGATGCCATTTTTACCTCAGTATCCAAGATGCCTGCTTTAGCTCCAGCATCACATCCTAATTCCAGCCAGCAGGAAAGAAAAAAAAGGCACATATTCTTCCTCAACACACATAAGTAACTGAGTCAGTATGACCTAGATTCTAACTGTGGCTTGACCAGTTACTAGCTGTGTGACCTAGGGGTCAGTTATTTAACCTCTGGAAACATCAGCTTTCCAGAAGTAGGACAACACTTGGTCTACAATTGGCCAGAATTTGGTTACATGACCACATTTAGTTGCAAGGGAGACTAGAAAATATCTTTATTCTGGAGAGCAATGTGTCTAATCCATATTGTGGAAAAGAGTAGGATTGATTTGGGGGAACTGGAGATCTGTGCCACACACTTTTTCCTGAGAATATTAATGAGAAAAAATACTTTTACACTTATGAAGAACAGAGGTAAATACATGTGTAAGACACAAATTATTTAATCTACAAATAATGCTTGGTGAGCATATGAATCTGAGGAGCTGGTCACAAACTGGTCTCTACTGAAAGCTGCAGAGAGCTCAAAGGATGCAAAGGCAGTCTGGATGATTTGGGGTTGGAAAGGTTTCATGGAGGAGATGAGCTGAGCCTTGAAGAATGTACAAGATTGTGAAAGACACGGGGGAGGGCAACTGAGACAAAACTCAACAGCAAAGGCAAGGAGGCAAGCGGGACAGTTTGGCTGGAGCAGAAGGCATGTGGAAGTACTTTATAAACCCAAAACAGTATGAACATTGTCTTTATCACACAGAAGGCATTGAGAGGTAAGGTTAAAGAAGGTTGAAAAGATACCGAAAATATTTTGAGTGCTAAAGTCGGGGGGTGGGGGGGAGGTGCATTTGACATTCTGGCTTGACCAGGTTACTAGATGTGTGGCCTCAGATGTTAGTTAACCTCTGGGCACTTCAGCTTCCTCATTTGTGAAACGGGGGGAGGGGAGACAGGGCGGATAATAACCACCCAATAGAGTTGGTTTGAGGTTAAAGACGGCATGAAGTCAGCAATCAATAAATAGGAAGATAAATAAAAGATTAGAGCATTCGAGTAACATGGTAGTTTTTTAAGCGTTAATGACAATCTGATACTCAGTGTATGAGTGATAGGAAATGGAAAATCTAAAGGCAGGCACAGCAGAACAATAGCATCCAGCACAACTGATGCACAGGAGTTTGCACTTTATGCTTTAGGCAAAGAAAAACTGAAGTTGACAGAGGGAATATTGGAGGCAGTGACATCAGTTAAGATGACTGCCAAAGTCCAGGTCCAGGGATGAGCGCCTTAAATAAGACAGTAGCTGTGAGGATGGAGAAAAGAATTTAACTATAAAAAGAACTTGGCAAAAGACTGCAGGAGGGAGGTGAAGAAAAGCGAAAAAGGGTTCTGGCTTGGGTAACTAAATGGCCAGTGGCACCATGAACCAAAACAAGAAAAAAGAAGAAAAACTTGTGTATACATGTGCGTACGTGTGTGCCTTTAAGTTCAATTTAGACTGTTGAAGTGATGCAGGGACATCCACATGACAAAGGTGCCCAAAAACCCAGTGGATATAGCCGTATGGACATCAGAAAAGGTGTCTCACTAGAGGTGTGTAGATTCGGAAGTCCTGTGAAATAAGGCTCACCCAGAGAAAGCCTGTAGAACAGAATCGTGAATTTTGTGGGCACTTTTGTGGCAACACTTTTGCGGGCAAAGAAAAACAGAAGCCAAAAAAGGGTACATAAAAATGAGATGGGAGAACTGGGAGAGAGTGGTATCAAAGAAACCAAGAGAATGAGGAGTGGCCAATACAGTCCCCAAACTGTTATGAGTTCCCAGGCATTTGCACAGACCTGAAGATGTTAGCAGACTGCTCAAATGTTAGGGATAATGTTGCTGACGGCTCTTCAGAGTTTTTACTGGAACTGTATGAGAAAGCTGGCTTCAGCAATGCGGGCCTCCTCTGGAATGAAGAACTGTCAGGAAGCAGTTTAAAGGAGGTTGCCATTACACAAAATTATATAAGGCAAGAAGAAGATGGATGGAGGTTCTGACATGCTCTTTGTGCCCCTATCTTGGTCTCTCTCTCTCTCTCTCAGTAGTAGACCAAAGGTCTGGAAGAGTGAAAATGGAAGCTGCTAGCAGTGCAGCCTTAGCCTTCTCTCACAGCCCCTGCTAGACTGAATTTCTTGAGACTTATCATCATGCACTGCACGTAGAGCAGCACTCCTGTTTGTTGAATAAAAAGCCAACAACAAGTAAGATAACTGGCCAACAAGAGATTAAGTGCTGGAAAACAGAGGCAAACAATACCAAGAAGTGGTCAGAGTTGGAATCAAACTCAGACCTTAGGAATTAGGCTGTGCTACCTCGTAACTAACTATTTAAACTTTAGGCACGTTCCTTAAATACACATAATGCATTTTCATGGTGCCACTGGCCGTTTAGGAATGACAACAGAACCCACCCTAAATAATATGCACTCATCTAAATGACAATGTTTATAACGTTCCTGGCAAAGTACTAATCATTACTTAACTCCCCAGAAGTATGACCTGAAAATAACATTTACTACATTTTAAAAGGAATTATAACTATATTATCAACCAATACCATCTACTAATGTTTACTGCAACCAGGAACTGCACAGCCACACCACAATAAACAATAAACCATGGAGATAAAACCTCCTTTTCATGGAGTCATTAAAGAGTTTATAAAGAAATTAAATGAGGTCATTCGTGTAAAAGAATTCTAACAGTGAATAGCATCCACCATGAAAATCAACTGGTCCCTTCTTAAGAATGTTCCTGTTGAAGAATGTAAAAAGGTCTTGTACTCAGCACCATTATTACTAAGCCAAAGCTTCTATTATACTCGTTTGGCAAAAAGGAGAAAAGAAAATACACAGCTTTTTGCTATTCTTAAAAAGCCAAGGGAAAAAAATAAGTAGCCCTCCAAATTGTACTTACAAATTCTTCTTCTGTAATAGCTGGTGGCTCTGAAACAAGATAAAATAGTACATTATCTCACTCAGATCTGATTTTCTTTTAAAGTAAATGAAATAATTTGAGACAGCACCTAGCCCTGCTTTATACATGGGCAAGCTCAGTAAAATATTGGCCCTCTGTTCATTTGCTGCACATAGATTGAATTTTAATTTGGAATTCAAGGTGGAAGTGGGGAGGAAAGGGCTCTGGAATCCAGCTTGGTCACTAATTCACTGTGACCCAGGAGTCAACCTTAACAGACGGAGGCTTTCGTATTCCAGGTGCAAAAAGGGGGAATTAAGCAAGATAAAATAAGCCCGTGCCAACGAGGCAATGTAAATGGTGGGCGGGGCGGCTGAAATTCGTAATAAAACGCTGTGAGCCGGCGGTGGAGTCAGTTTTTCGACTGTCTGGAAGAGCGGCCGCCGGGCGGGGGGAAGTCAAGTCCCGCGGCGGTGGCGGCCCGCGCTGCCCGCCCGGCCCACCTACCCGCGGTGAGCCGCAGCTCGGGCATGGCGCCACCGGGACCCGCGCCCGGCGTCCGCGCGCGCCCTCGAGGCCCCAGCCGCGCGCGGGCCCAGCGCCCGCGACGGCCGAGCTCTGCCCGCGAGCGGCCGCCAACGCCGAGCGGCGCGCGGGCCTGGGCTGCGCCGGCGTGGGTGACCTCGCCGCGCCCAGTTGCTATGGAGCTCGGACAATGGGGGCGCAGGCGGCTGGTGGTTCCGGGCCTGCGCGCGGCGCCCGAGGCCAGGGCGGGCCGGCGCCTCTGCGCGGAGGACAACACCCGGGAAGCCCCGTCCGACCTCACCTAGACCCGGGCGGGCGCCGGCGTCAAGACTGGGGGACCACGCGAGCTCCGACCCCGGCGCGGCCACCGCGGAGGGCCCTGCAGTCGCGCGTGCCCCTCAGGCGCCGAACTAGCCGGGGACCCGGTACGGTGGTAGCCGTGGCCCAGGCCTCTTCTCCCAAAACAAGACCGAGCCGCACTGTCCAGGACGTGTGATGTCCCGGAGCAGGAGACCCGCTGACCCGCGAGTGCAGGAAAGGGGCTCAGCCGGGCTGGTCCCGAGAGGAGAGGCTGAGAGTGATAACGGAGGGTGCATCCGCGCACAGCTCTTGAGCTCATTCCCTGTTGTCTGAAACGCCTCTATAGAAAGTTAAATATTCACGTGCTTTAGAAACCAGATCTTCCCCACATTTTTGCTCCAAAAGGTTAGGACTAGTGTCTTTTCAGGGTATATCTAAGCTTTAAAAATTATCTGAGAACTCTGTTGAGGAGACAATAAATTGAGGATGCTCATAGTCTGTATATATAACTTTTTTTGGAAAAGTCATGGCCAACTCAAATTTCCAGCACAAACCCCTCTCTCCAGGGTGAGAACTCTACATACAATTCCTTCTGTACACAGCAGGAGCTCTTCTTTACTTTCAAACTAAAATGACCAAAAGGAAATCTATATTTTCCCCACTTCTTATTTTCAAATTTCATCTTCCTACATAAATCCCACATTCAGTAAGTGGGTACCTTTATCCAGGTTTCTGACTCAAGCCAGAAACCCTATATTCAGTCAAGCTCAAGTTCCTGCAAATTCCATCTTAAAGTATTTCTGGAATCTGAAATCATGTCTCCACTCCCACTAACAACCACAGCCTTTGCACGGGCTCCCATGTAAACTGTTGTAAATACTTTCCTAATTTGTCCCTCTTCAAGTCTTTGCTTCCAGTGGAGTTCCCCTTAAATCCAGTCTCCATGGTGAAAGCAAAACTATCTAAATGCAAATCTGACCTCAAAACCTTCAATGGCTCCACTTTTGCCTCCTACAGTGTGGGGGGATGCTGTAAGGCAGACCAGGAACTTGCAGTGCGAAGGCTTAAGCAAGCGAGGAGTGAGACAATGGGTGCTTGCATTGCAAAGAACAGTAACACCTGAATCAGTATATTGCCTTTTCAATATTACATGTACAAAGACAAAAACAGAGGGCCAAATGAAGTAAAGGAAGAGTGGTAGAAGAGAACAAAAAGGGGAGGTGTGAGAAACCAAATCCCTTGTAAGGACTGCAGCTTCTGTCCTGAGTGAAATGGAAACCATAGGAGTTTTTAACAGAGAAGAAGCACGGTTGTGCTTTTATTTGAAAAGGATCACTCTGGGTGCTGAATAGAAAATGTGGTTGGGCACAGATAGCAGCAGGCAAGAGCTGACGGTGGCTCAGACTAGGGTGGTAGCAGTAACAAGTTTGAGAAAGATTCCCATTCTGCATATATTTTAAAGGTAGAACCAAGATTTCCTGAGAAGTTGGATGTGGGGATGAAACAAAGTAGGTGAGAATAACTGCAAAGTTTAGTAGCCATCCAAGTGAAGATTTTGAAATTGCAGTTGATTTAGGAGCCTGGAATTTGGGAGATGTAAATTTGAGAGTTGACATATAAATGGGGTTTTCAGGTGTTGTCTTATGCTGTTTCTATTTCCATGGAAGCTTTTCTGGCTTGTTATCAGGCTCAATGTTCTCATTCTTCAATACTCAACTTGAATTGCTTTCACTTGTCTCTTCTCCTGCTCTTGTATACTTGGTACAAACTTGTATCTTAACATTAATATTAAAATAATCTGTACAGGGAGGTGCACCTTCTACTTTCAGTGCCACCCACCAGACAGTAACCTTTTGGAAGGAGACTGAAGGAGATATATCTGATTTTACCCCCCAACCCCACCTGCAGCACTCCCTACTGAGAGCCTGCCACTGCATACTTATTGCAATATCTTCTCTCCATTGCAATCATTCTGCACTGTGCCCTGCTCGCAGAAAATATTTATTTATCCCTGTTTTAGATAACTATACCAATGAGAAGCCAATAGGTTGTTATAACATTAACATTTGTTTTAACACTTATTGCACACTTACTATGGGCCTCTAACAATAACTCTAAGAGATTGGTATTATTATTTTCAAAAATTTAGGAAACTGAGACTTAGAGAGGTGAGATAATTTGCTCAAAGACAAACAACTGAAAGTGTTGAAGCCACAGTTGACCCAGGTCTGTCTGATCCAAAAAGACTTTACTCTTTAACAACCATGCTTTGCAGTGCTTTCCTCTAAAAATAATCTCATGAGATTTAAAAAGAGCACAAGAACCACAAAGACTGTAACTTGAACCCAAATACAAAGGTTATAAGCTAATGTTTTGTTGATTTTTTTGGTAAATTTTATTGAAACATAATTCATATATCATACACTTCACCTAAAGTGTACGATTCAGTAGTGTTTAGTATATTCAGAGTTCTGCAACTATCACCAGAATCAATTTTAGAACACTTGTATCACCTCAAAGAAACCCTATACACTTTAGCCATCATTCTTGATGATCCCCTCACCCATGCCAAGCAACCACTAACCTATTTTTGCCTCTATAGTTGCCTATTCTGCAGACTTCATACAAATGAAATCACACCATCTGTTGTTTTTTTGTGACTGGCTTCTTTCACTTAATGTTTTTAAGATTTACCCATGTTGTAGCATGAATCAGTACCTCATTCCTTTTTATTCCTGAATAATACTCCATTGTATGGTTATACCATGATTTGTTCGTTAATAGACATTTGAGTCATTTCTGCTTTTGGCTTTTACAAATAATGCTGCTATGAACATTCATGTACAATTTTTTGTTTGGGTATATTTTTTCATTTCTCTTGGATATATACTTAGGAGTGGAATTTCTGGGTCAAAAGGTAATCCTATGTTCATTAAACAACTTTTTGAGGAACTGCCAGACTGTTTTCCAAGTTGGGTGACCCACTTTATATCACCGCCAGCAGCAGATGAATATTCTGATTTCACCACATCCTCTTATCACTTTAATTATAGCCATCCTACTGAATGTGAAGTGGTTATCTCTTTGAGGTTTTTGATTTGCATTTCCCTGATGACCAGATATTATTTAAAACATTTTATTCTGTCTCTGACCTCCAAACTCCCTAGTTTTTTCAAAAAGGCCTTTTTCTACAACTATTCTGTATCCTTGTTGAAAACCAATACAGTTCAAAACCAGAAGTTTATAATGGGAAATGTATCTACGTAAATGGAATTAAGTTTCTGTTTATTCTCTTCTGATTCTGGACATATTGTTAGCAAGCACATTGGAGGATGTGTTTGAGATGGCCTTACTTAAATACAGACTTTGTAGTACACCTGCAGTTCAATTTGGGGAAATCTGGAAAGCATCTCAGACAGTCTCCCTGCAAAACTGCTAAAACTGTGATATAATGAGCAGCTAACACAAGCATGGAACAGGTCAGAAGTGATATCATGTTAAGAAAAGTGTTATCATGTTAAATGATAGTTCGATGAAGAAAAATGATCAAGTTTCATACATGAGCCCCAAACCAAGGCTGACCTGAACTGAAAGGATTAATTTGCATTAGGGATAATCTGTAGCCAGTCAGAGTGAGATGTAGGGGGTTATTTAATGATTCTCCTAAGGACTTCTGGAAACACCAGCTAATACATGTACGTGTATGTGTATTTATCTCCTTGACAATCAAGAGGAAAATTTCAGGCATCCTACTTGTTTAATGATTTAAAAATGCCAGTCCTTTGTTGATTTTGGTGTGATAAAGTCCAACTTAAGCCCAGTTCTAAATCTTTTTGAGAAGAGGAACAGCACCAAAGGCTGAAATTCATATCATCGTGATTTTAATTTTTGATGGTAATGGGATACTTTATATGGTTGAGAGTCTAGATATACAAATGGACAATGGCTAGACCATATACAATAGAACTCTGACTCATAACCTCTGCAGCAGTCCACTTTGGAAAATCTCTGTGGCAAGAGACCCAGAATAATCAGGACTTAGTAACCAGCAGTTTCCCTATTTTTGTCCCAACTCAGGGTCAACCAGAGGAGCCAAATATGCTTTCCAAACCAATTATTTAAATGCCTGCTAGATTCTGGGTAGCCTGCTTCCAGCTTCCCATGCCCACAACCTCCAAGTAGAGCGTACCTGAAGGCTTCCCTTTCCCACTATATAGCTTTCCCACTCTCTTGCCAGCCTAAGTCTGTGAATAAATAGTCTTTACTTGTTCTTATTTGGGTTGCTTTCATTTATTTCCACATAGCTAAACTATATTTTTAGTTTTTATACATGAGTGAATCAGAATGACAAGACACTGCAGAATGTTTTTCCTAGAAGCTGGGTGGCAACTCAGCATCTAATAATGTATGATACTAACTCCCTTCCAGTCCATGAGGTAACTGCAGCTGTGGCAAGGAGATCAGAAACCCAGGTTTATAAAATGTATATTTTATCTCCAGTCTCTTTTAGATAATAATTTTCTTTCCTTTTTGTGAAATTACATATCTTATCTATTTTGGGTAACAATTACACATCCATATCACATTTAACTAGAAAACATCATTTTTTTTCTATTTTCTAACTTAACAGTTCATAATTTTTTGAAGAAGGAACATAATTAGTTTAATACATTTATTAGGCAATTTCTTAACTTATCCAAGATAACT